ACTGAGCAGGTCAAGCACAGTGCATTCCTGTCTCCCTCAGTTTTTGGATGCCTTTTTCTCCATTAAACCGAGGAGCTTAGCATCTCTCAGCATCATTCACATGAGCTGCCGTGAGCCCCGGTTTCAATGAGAGCGCAAACTGTCAACACCATCCCCGCCTTTCGGATCAGAACCCGGCACACGATCGCCTTCCCCCAGTACCCATTCCTTGGGACTTTGCAAACGGGTGCAGTTTGTCTTGGCGTCTAAGTCTTCCCTTCCTGTGTTTACTCTAAACTGCCCCTGCCCTGCCCTGGGAGGCTGAGCTGTGACCCACGTGCTTTCCTCAAGCCCCTGGCCCTTGAGCGGCGGCAGCTGCCTGTCCGCCTGCTAGACCTGCACCCAGTCTGCAGGGGCGACCCGGCTGCCGGAGGGTGAGGGTGCAGGCTGCTGTCTGCAGCCACTTTGGGGACAAACGCTGCATCTGCTGCGGAAGATGCTCTGAGCTCCATCTAGTTCCTTGAAAATTGCTCCCCGTTTGATCTGGGCAGAACTTCCTTCGGGGACGAAGTTGGCGATCCCGGTGAAATCCTCACGCGATGATCGGAGGGACTTTAATGAGGGTGCGATCTGTTCTGGGAAACAGCCAGCGGCCCCTCTGCCGTCCACAGGCGAGTTGGCGTGTCCAGCCTGGGGCTGCTTCTCCTCCCGGCCCGGCGTGCGCCTCCCGCGTGGCCTCTCAGGGCCCGTCCCTGCGGGCGGCACTGCCATGAGCCCTGACCCCTGCTTGTAACTCCACTGTGCGACTGTTGGCACAGGAGCTAGACATCAACAAAGGGGCAGAGCAAAGGGAATCAGACAGCAAGAAGCCTACTAACCGGGGAAGCTGCAACCAATATCGGGCCTGCCTCCCTGGGAAGCTGCAGCCGCACACAGGCTCCGGGCAGCATCGGTCTGCTCCCCACAGATTACCTGGGGGAGGGATAGAGTAATAAGAAGAAAATTCCTCGCCGGGCCGGAGCCCAGCAGAAGCCAAGATGGCGAAGCAGGGGGCGGGGTGGGGGGGGCCTCCACTCCGAGGCATGCGCAGTCGGCGCTGAGGGGCTGGCCGCAGAGGCCTGTCTCTCTAGCCCGGGGAAAGGACCAGATGAGGTGGGGGACACAGAGCCCCTGGAGGTCCAGGAAATGGGTTGGTTGCAGGGGACCAGCAGGAGCCCGCAAAAGACTGGGACTCCGGTTGGTTCGTTTGAAAGGGCTCGTTGGGGTCCTTCCCAAGCCCAAGGGGATGTACCCCAGTGACACGTGCTCGGACGGAGCACGTCCATCCTTTCCCGCCCATCGTTCCTGCTCCTCTCTGCGTAGCAGCCCCCGAGCGCAGCAACGCAGCGCCCCGCAGTGTGGCCGGGAACAGGCGCCGCCAACCCGGGGGGACCGGCGGGGACTATACGGGCCACGCGTGGGTACGGCACGGGACTGCGGACACCGCCCTTCGTTCTGGCCTTCGTTCACGGCGGGCGGACGCAGGTGGGAGTCGGGGAGCCTGGGCACAGCCTTCCAGGTCGCCACAATGAATCTTCCCGCGTGCCCCCGCGTGCAGGTCCCCAGGGTGCTTCCCTGTGACCCCATGACAGAGCCTCGTGGCTCCTGCGGGAGGCCCTCCCTCGTCCGGATGTTTCTGTGGCCCCTGCCCGGCCCCACCCATCACCCACATGGCACCAGCAGCAGTGAAAGCACCGACTCACCACCTGCCGGCAGCGGCCAAGTCCCACCCATGCTCAGTAGCTGTCGCCATCCCCGGGGAGGCTGAGTGTGTAAGACTGTCGCCGTCCCTCCATGGGAGCCCAAGAGCAGGGGCTCACACCCAGGCACAAGGAACCAGGGGCCAGGGAAGCCCCCGCCGAGAAGGTGACATCCCAGTGGACCGGCGGAGAGGAAGGAGCCACACCGGCCGGGGCTAAGAATTCCAGACAGGGCACAGCAAGGGCGGCCCCCGAGGCCGGGACACACAACCGACGAGCAGAGCAGAGGTGGGGGGCTGAGGGCCAGTGCCGCACGGAGCCACCGCCCGCCAGCTGCAGGATGGGGGTGGGGGACAGAGCCTCTCCCTTGACCCCTCTCCACCCCAGAAGGCACCGTGAGGCAGGCTGTATTCAGGACCGTCACAGCAGGGGCACGAGCCACTGCGATGACATTCTCGTCTGCAGCGGGGGCAGGTGGGCCCAACCAGTCCCAGCAGGGACACACAGGAGCATTCGGGGACAGGGCTCAGGACACGTGCCCCCAGAGTATGGCACCTGGGCACGTTGAGTATTTTAACATGAGGGAGTTTGAGAATCAGGTCACGAACACCCCCATCCTCGTCCCCAAAAGAAGCCATCACATCCTCGTGGGAGAAGAGCCCCCCACGCCCAGAGGAAAGGCGCCGCCCTACGCGGAAGGCAAAGAGGGATCCCAGCGGACGCCTGGCGCAGCCTCCCTGGGCTCCTCACTCCCCACCGACCCAGCACAGACGCTCAGGCTGAGCTGGTTCTTCTCGGGTCTTCGATTCATGACGGAGTCTCCCACGTCACATAAAACATACAAAATTAAATAAATGTCTATACTTTCTTCCTGTTGATGATTCTCGGTTTAATTTTCAGGCCCAGCCTGGCACTCTGTCAGGTCGAGGAAGGCTTTTCCTGCCGTACAAGAGCCAGTGCGGGCCCGCGGGTGGAGAGTCGCTGCGAGGAAACGCGGGGTGTAGGGGACCCCCGACTCGTGCCAAGGGCAGGCACCCACCAGGCTCACCTGGGCAAGGTGGGCGGGGCCGGGTATTGAGGATGGGGCTTCTCGCTAGGTCGAGTCCGCAGGGCTCTCGTTAAAATGGATTTTACGAAGGTCTAGGCGAAGGTTCATTTCGGAGGATGCACCTGCCAGCAGAGTCCTCTGGAATCGAAACCAGCCACAGGGCCTCAGGGTGGCAACAGGGTGGCTGGGCGGGGAAGCGGGATGCGGACAGGGAGGTCGGCGGCCGGGCAGAGGCAGGCGCAGGCAGGGGGCAGGGAGACCGGCCTCCGGCGTCCCAGGTCCCGGCATCAGCGGGCCCAGGAAACACCGCGGGAACTCCTCGCGGGCAGGGGCAGCGGCGCCGGCGCTCCCGCGGCCACGCCCACGCCCACCGCGCAGGCCCAGGACACCGAGGCCTCGCTCCGCTCCGGTGCTGGGGCAGAGCGAGAGGACCCGCACCGCTCCTCGCAGGGCGTCTCTGCTCCTGCGGGCGCTCGCTCCAAATTAGCAACGGCCCAGGGGTCTAGCGCCACTTCCCGCGCCCGGGGGGCCGCCTCCCCCCAGGGCTGTGCCCCAAGCTGACCCTCTGCAGCAGTGCCATAAAGAGAGCTCACATCTAAAAAAACTCCAACGCCTGCAGAGCCTTGGCTTTGAACAAACACAGCTGGTGGCACCCGCACCTCCTCCCCCACGCGGAGGTCAGGGGCGGGCTGGCTTCGAGTCCCGTGTCCGCACACCTGAGCAGCCTCCAGAAGCGGCAGGGGACGGGGCCAGCCGTTTGCATAACGTTACAACCGCGGGCAGGCTCTTTCTGGGAATCAGGGCAGGTCCTCGCGTCTGGGGTGGTTCCCAGCTTGCAGCAGAAAGCGCCTTTGGTTGGTTCCCTTTAAACTGTAATTCGCAGCGCCCACCAGCCGCGATCGCTCCAATTCCAGGTTCAAAGATTTCTGGGCCAGGGAGAAACTTTCTGTCCTGGCCACCCACCCCATTCTGCTCCCACGCACCAGCCCAAAACCCACACTGGGAGGGGCCCGCAGCGGATCGCGGGGGGACACTAGCCCCTTCCTTCCCCCATGAGGTCAAGCAGCCCCATCTCCGGGAGGCCGTGCCCTTCCAGTTTTGCTCCCATGATGCCCCTTGGCGTAAGTCCACACGGCGCCAGGGCAAGGCCAGCTCCCGGGGATGGGCTCCCATGGAAGCTGCGTCCCAGCCCCCACCCCAGTTCCAGAGGTCTCTCCAGGGTCCCGCCCACTCTCCCACCCGCTCCCCAGCAGCCCAGGCCCTGCGCTGCCTGAGCCCAGAGGTCCCAGAGGGGTGCCTTGAGCGTGGGGGGTGCCCGAGGCCAGAATGCCGCCTTGGGGAGGGTTCTCTAGAGGGCAGTGGCGCTCAGGGAGGCTGCTGGGGGCAGGGCACCGAGTTCCTGCCCCCTAACAACCCTCTGCGGCCCCCCTCTAACTCTGAAGAGACAGCTGAACACACTGGGGACCGGTAGGTGAAGTCACCTGCCCAAGGCTGGCTGTCCAGTGGCGGAGCCAGGACCAGGCCGGGCTTCTTCCCGCCTCATGGGTCCTTCCCATTGGTCTGCCCTGGAGACACGCCAGCCCCGAAGCCCGGACAACACGCTGGCACACACGCCACATGCACACACCACACACCGACTTACATCACATACATACCACACACCGCACACCACACGCACATACCACGCATGTTCACACACATCACACACGACACACACATGCACAGGGAGTGGGTTTGGAAGAATACACTGTCTCGCGTTTCACGACGAGCACCAGCGGTGTTGAAGGAAAAACCCAGAGAGGTTTGCTGGTCCACCGGGAGCCCCGCGCTCCGGGCCTCTCAGAACAGCCCGCGGCCCCGCAGGACGGGGGAGGCCGGGGCAGCCCCCGCACAACGGGCGCGAACGCTGGAAGCCCCACCCAGCTCGCGCCACAGCCCAGGCCCGTGTCCCCGGCGCCAACGGCCTCGGAAGCACAGGAGACCCGCGCGCACCCGCCGCGCCGCGCCCTGAGCCCGCCGCGCCGCACTCCGGCCGCGACCCCGGGCTCCGACCCGCACCCCTGGGCTCGCCCCGCAGGCCCCGGACGCTCCGCCCCGCCCTGAGCCCCGCCGGGCAGGCCCCAGGCCCTGCGCCCCGCCCCGCCCCGCCTTTGCTCGGCCTGGCGCGCGGCGCGTCACAGGAGCGCGGGGCGGGCCGGGGGCGGGGCGACGCGGAAGTGCCGCGGAGGGTCCCGCTGCCCGCTGCCCGCTGCCCGCTGCCCGGACCCGCCCTCCTTGGCTCAGTCCTGCTCTTCCCCGCCCCGCCGGACCCCGCGGGTCAGTGCCATGTGGCTTCGGCCCCTGGCCTCGAGCCTGGGCCGGGACCCCTGGGTGAAAAGGGCACCTGCAGGTGTCCCGGCCCAGGAGGGTTTCCGGGGAGTCACATCCCAGGCTACTGTTGGGGGGGTGGGGGTTTCCGGTTACCGGGTCCTTCGGGACTTTAGAAGGGGGTTGTCTATTGTGGGAATCGGGATTATTTGGGTCTAGGGGCTCACGGGAGGGCAGGGCCTGGTCCGGGGGCTCTGAGGCAGAGCTTGCTGGAGCCAGTTTGCCTTCCCTTCCGAAGGGTCTCTCGTGACAAGCCTGTCTGGGCCGTGCGCCATGGTGGCGCTGTGGGCTCTGGCTCTGACCTTGGCTGCAAGCCGGACCGCCGGCTGCTCCCCTAACATCGTGCTGATCTTTGCTGATGACCTGGGCTACGGGGACCTGGGCGCCTATGGCCACCCCAGTTCCACCACCCCCAACCTGGACCAGCTGGCCGCAGCGGGGCTGCGGTTCACGGACTTTTACGTGCCCGTGTCTCTGTGCACGCCCTCCCGGTGAGCGAGGGGGCAGGGCAGCCCCCCGCCCCCCGCCCGCCCCCCACCCTCCCTGGCGGGCGCCCAGCTCTCACCCGGGTGCCCCTCCGTCTTTGTCTCTCTGTGTTCTGCTCTGCAGAGCCGCCCTCCTGACCGGCCGACTCCCAGTCCGGATGGGTCTGTACCCCGGTGTTTTGGGGCCTGGCTCCCTGGGGGGCCTGCCCCTGGAGGAGGTGACCCTGGCTGAGGTCCTGGCTGCCCGAGGCTACCTCACGGGGATGGCCGGCAAGTGGCATCTTGGGGTGGGGCCTGAGGGGACTTTTCTGCCCCCGAATCAGGGCTTCCATCGATTCCTGGGCATCCCATACTCCCACGACCAGGTAGGAACTGCACTCCCAGCCCCTCGCCTCCCCGGACCTCCCAGCCCCCGCCCCAGCCCAGGTGCTGACTGGAGCTGCCCTCCAGGGCCCTTGCCAGAACCTGACCTGCTTCCCGCCGGCCACACCCTGCGAGGGCATCTGTGACCAGGGCCTGGTCCCTGTCCCGCTGCTGGCCAACCTGTCCGTGGAGGTGCAGCCCCCGTGGCTGCCAGGACTTGAGGCCCGCTACCTGGCCTTCGCGCGCGACCTCATGGCGGATGCCCAGCGCCAGGGCCGCCCCTTCTTCCTGTACTACGCCTCCCACGTGAGTGCCCTGGCCCTGCGCCCAGGCTGCCCCGCCCCCACCCAGTGCTAACCCTAGCCTCTGCCCCCAGCATACCCACTACCCGCAGTTCAGCGGGCAGAGCTACGCCGGGCGCTCGGGCCGCGGGCCGTTCGGGGACGCCCTGATGGAGCTGGACGCGGCTGTGGGCGCCCTGGTGGCGGCAGTGCAGGACCTGGGGCTGCTGCGGCAGACGCTGGTCATCTTCACGGCAGACAACGGGTACGTCGGCGGGGCTGGGCGCGCGGGCAAGTCCTCACAGGTGTGGCTCTGGGGCCTCCCTGTCTCCACCGCCCGCGATGGACAGAGCGGGAGGAGGGGTCCGGAGAATGCTGACCACGTGATGGCGACGGACAGGTGCGCGTGGCAGGCGGGCCAGGGCACCTGGGAGCCGGTCCGCGTGGGACCGGGCGAGGACAGGCCCCTGCGGCCGCCGCTGCGCGGACCCTGCCTGCCACGCCTCCAGCCCCTGGAGTCTGGGTCTGGGGCCACCAGGGCAGGACAGACGTGCTGACAGGCCCTGTGCGCCCCAGGCCCGAGACGATGCGGATGTCCCAGGGCGGCTGCTCTGGCCTCCTGCGGTGCGGAAAGGGAACCACCTTCGAGGGCGGCGTCCGAGAGCCGGCCTTGGCCTTCTGGCCAGGCCACATCACTCCTGGTCAGTCTCCAGGCCCCCTCCTCACGCAGCCCCGGCCCCACCTCCCCAGTGCTGATGGAGAGCCAAGTGACCACACAGCCCTCTGCCCCCAGGCGTGACCCACGAGCTGGCCAGCTCCCTGGACCTCCTGCCCACCCTGGCGGCCCTGGCCGGGGCCCCGCTGCCCAACATCACCTTGGATGGTGTCGACCTCAGCTCCGTGCTGCTGAGCACTGGCAAGGTAGGGCCAGCGACCCCATGGCCCCGGCCCTGGGAGGGACCTTGGCCCGCTCACCTTGGTCGAGCGGCATCCAGGTAGTGCTGCCTCTGGGGCTCCTGGGTGGACACATTCGGGGGCTGACGCAGGCTGATCGGCGTTGGGGCCCCCCCCATGGCTCCAAATTTTGCCCTCAGAGCCCCCGGCAGAATATGGTCTTCTACCCTGCCTACCCGGATGAGGTCCATGGGGTGTTCGCTGTGCGGAGCGGGAAATACAAGGCCCACTTCTTCACCCAGGGTAACTGCTTCCCCCTGCCCCTCCGACACATCCGGGCCCCCGCCTCCTGCCCCCGCTCCTGCCTCCCCTCCTGCCCCGGCTCCTGCCCCGTGCACAGACGTGTCCCCCTCCCCAGGCTCTGCCCACAGCGACACCACCGCGGACCCTGCCTGCCACGCCTCCAGCCCTCTGACGGCCCATGAGCCTCCGCTGCTCTTTGACCTATCTGAGGACCCCAGTGAGAACTACAACCTCCTGAGTAGTGAGGCTGAGGTCACTCCGGAGGCCCTGGAGGCCATGAAGCAGCTGCAGCTGCTCAAGGCCCAGTTTGATGCTTCCGTGACCTTCGGCCCCAGCCAGATGGCCCGGGGCGAGGACCCTGCCCTGCAGATGTGCTGCGACCTCGGCTGCAGCCCCTGGCCCACCTGCTGCCTCTGCCCGGAGCCCCCGCCCTGAGGGCACCTTCCGTTGCTGGGGCTGGGGCACCCCGAGGGGTTTGTACCCGTAACCCAATAACACCAGCTGAGACTTGTAGGTGTGACAATTCATCTGATCCTTGGGATGGCCAGAGGTAGGTGCTATTCTGCCTGTGCACAAACGAGGAAACTGAGGCACAGGGCGATCTGGCCACGTGCCCGAGGTCACCCTGCCCGTGGCAGGCGGGGCCGGGAGCTGTGGCCAGGCACCCCGGCTCCAGGGATTGCGGGTCCGTTGGCGGGAGCCGCACTGCCTGCTGTGTGTGCCTGGCGTGGGGTGGGGGGCGTGAGGGCTGTGCCCAGGAGCGGTGCGCCCAAGGGAGCCGGGTGTGCTGGCGGCACGGGACCAGGCCGCACTGGCTCCCCTCAGAGACCTCCCTGAGGCCAGGGACGAGCTGCTCGTGCTGCGTGGGGATAAGGGGGCCAGGCCCGCCCGATACGAGGAAGGTGCACCAGCCGCTTCTGAGGCAGCCCCCCAGCCCACCCTGACCCTGGCCCATATCTGCCCCATGGAGCACACCCATTTCCTGTCCCCTGGCTTTCCTTGTGACCCAACTGAAGCCACTCACCCAGCAGAGCTCTGAAAACCATGTCTAGTTTGGTTACATCCCCCTCAGAGCTGCAGGCCCAGAATAAAATCTGGGCTCCGAGGTCTGCCCTCCCCCTCCCCCGCACCCCTCCACCTGCCCAAACCCCACCTGGGGCTCTGTAGTGGGGACTGGACTGCCCGCTCGCGTCTGCACACGGGGGTCCCTGCGCAGGGCCAGGTGGGCCCACGCGCCCCTTCGGTGTGGGCTGGGCGAGGCAGGTGCCGTCGGGGTGCTCGAGGGCCCCCGGGGGCTGTTTGTCCCCTCCCTCGTTCAGGTCCCTGCCCGAACCATGGCGGGCGGAGGCCCTGGAGCGTGGAGGCGCAGCCTTGCCCTGTCCCGGGAGGCAGGGGCCGGCCGCGGGGCCACGGCTGGTCCGAGTGGCGTGACAAGAGTCCTGGTCGGCGCGCGGTGGGCAGTCTGCTGGGACCCGGGTCTGCTGGGGGCTGTGCAAGTCCCTGGCATCCCTGGACCTGACCAGACCTTGTGCAGCTGCCAAGCCCGTGTGTCCCCAGCTGTCAGCCTCCACAGCTCACCGTGTAAGGAATAAACCCGCCGTTTGAGCCGCTGGTGTGGTGTGGGGGCCTGTTACTCGCGGCGGGAGGCATCTCCCTGGGATGATGGGTGAACAGGATGTACGGCATCGCCCGGGCAAGCCCAGGCACGTGACCCCCACCACTCCTGGTCAGGTTCGGGGGGTGCACTGACGGTTCCCCAGGCCCTGCTGTGTCCTGGGGCTGCCCCCACGGGCTGTGGTTTCCTTGGGGACCCCCCGCAGCCCCTGAGGCTGGCGTCAGGAGGGCCCCCCCGCGCGTGTGGCCTGGCAGAGGCGCTGGGCTGCGTCAGCCAGGTATACACACCTGACCCACCTGCAGCTTCCTGCCCACGGGGCCTACGCCCCGGCCGAGCGCCCTGGTCTCAGGCGAAGGACAGGGCCCTGAAGCAGAGGCATGACCTGCTCATCCGATCCCAAGAGCGAACACTCACAAGAACCAAACGAGCAGGTGCCGCCCCTCCCGAGCAGTGAGCGTCCCTGCGTGCCCCCCACCCCCCGCACCAGCCACGCGCAGTGCTGGGTCACAGGTCACCAGAGGTGGCCCATCCCTGCTCCAGGGTGCCCGCCGTCAGCAAAGGAGATGAGTATCGACGGGCTCTGGGACGCCGGTGGCTTCCGGCGAGAGGGGCCTGCCGCGTTCGTGGGTGGGGTGTGGGCAGTGCCTGGGAAGGGGCCTCGGGACCTCAGGGCGCTGCCAGTGTTCCCATCTTGACGGGGTGCAGGCGGGTGTGTGCAACCCTCGAGCTACACACTCAGGGTGTGGGCCCTCTAGGATGTCGTGTGGGTGCCTTACACTTCCACGAAAACAAAGAGTTAACCGTGATCGATGCCTCAGGGGAGGAGGACTGTTCCTGCGCGAGTGGAAGGCCGCGAGCCAGGCTGAGGGCCCTCCCTGCTGAGGTTCCAACCCCACGACCCCGCGGTCAAACCTGCGTGGCACCAGGGTTAGAAAGGGAGCCAGGTCCTCCCCGCCCATTGTCCTCGGGTTTGGCTGGGATGCTTTCGGGAGCAGAAACGAGTATTTGCTGTTCCAGCTGCATTAGTGCAACGCACCCACTCGTGCAGACACTAGGGTGTGCACACGCGCAGACACGCATGCACACGCACACGCGTTCACACACTCGACAGCCCCACACGCCGCCACGGAGTCCCGGCTTTTCCCTTTCCTGCTCTGCTGTTGGTTTCAAAATCAGCCCCTTTTCCGGGGAGCCTGGGGCCGCCTTCTCCCCTGGCCGGAGGAGCTGAGGGGGGTGGACACACACGCAAACATGGTGGTGCTGCGGGTCCTCCCAGACGTGTTAGGAAGGGACCCAAGACACCCGGCCGCCCCGAGCTGCTCCCTCCCGGGCCAGCCACTTCCCCGAGTCACCAGAAGGGGGAGCCAAAGGGGGCGTTTCCAAGGAATGGTGCAGCTCTCACCTCCTCCGCGTTCTGCACGCTGGGCGCTGCCTCTCCCTGTCCTTGCCCCAGTCGCGGAGAAGGGGTCGCAGTAACAGAGGGGTCCCTCCCAGGCGGTCCCAGCTGTGGGGCCCAAGGCATGAGCCCCCGGGGCGAGGGGGAGCGCAGCCCCTCCCTCAGGTGTCTCAGAAGGGAGGGGGCAGGGGGGCGGAGTTGAGGGTGTCGCCTGGGCAGGCGGGCGGGGCCCTGGCAGGGCGCAGCCGGGGCGGGAGGGGGGGGGGCCGTGGCGGGCCCCGATTCCACAGCGGCAGTGGGAGGGCCTCACCGTCTCTTACTGAACAAGCAGCCGCGTTACAAGCAGCCGCGTTACAAGCGGAGATTCCGGAGCCCCCCGCCCCCCGGGAGCACCCAGTTCCCTGTTGGGGCTACAGCCCCCACCCCTGGAGGGACAGACGTGACCTCCAGGGCATGGGGACCCGCAGAGCAGGGAAGGGCGTCCAGGCAACTGCCCCGCAGCAGGCCGAGCTGCCCCCCCGAGTGCCATGTCTGCCGTCTTTCCCGCTCTGCAGGGCCCCAGCACCCTCCCCACAAAGTCCTTCTGAGCTGTGTTCCCTGGAGGTGGTTTCCCTGGGCTGGTTGGGACAGCAGAGTGACAACAACAGTGTATTCCAACCCAATCCCAGCAAATGTGAGCAGGGGGTCAGGGCAGCCAGACAGGGTCCCTGCCAACCAGGGGGACGGACGCCGAGCGTCTGTGGTGGAGGGCAGGGGCCTGCTTCCCGGAGACACTGAGGCAGAGCGCTGGGCCCACCTGCCCCCTCTGGGGACTTGTCCTCCCTTGTCACACCTGACTGGAAAAATCGCTTGCCCTGAGACACCTCCCATGTGAGCTCGATAGTCCCGTCCCTCACCAGGCGCCCAGCAAGGGCGCAGAAGCTAGAGGGGCTGAAAGAGCTCACTTCGCTCCCGCCCCAGCAGTGAGGCTGCAGACGAGGGGGGCGGTCGGCCTGCTCTGCCGGTAAACCTCGGGCAGGACGCCCCGACGGACTGCGGGTGGGCCGCGCTCCCCGGGGTAGCACGCTCTGTCCAGACACAGGCTTGGAGCAGCGGGCCCGCGGAGCAGTGCGCGGGGCCCCGCAAGGCAGACTCTGCAAGGCGGGCTCCGCACAGGTAGGGTCTGCCCAAGGTGGGCACCGGCCCTGCCTACCAGGTGAGTCCCTGGGGATGGCTGCCCAGCCCATCTGCTCCAACTTTGCACAAAGGAAATAAGAAATAAAGTCGGCCCTGGCTGGTGCGGCTCAGTGGATTGAGCGCCAGCCTGTGAACCAAAGGGTCGCTGGTTCGATTCCCAGTCAGGGCACAGGCCTGGGTTGTGGGCCAGGTCCCCAGTAGGGGGCGCGCGAGAGGCAATCGCACATGGATGTTTCCCTCCCTCCCTTCCCCTCCAAAAATAAATAAATAAAATCTTTTTAAAAAATAAAATCAAAGGTGTCCTTACTCATCAACTGAAATGATGGCCGAGGCGCCCCCGTGGCTGACCCCTTTGAGCTCTCCGCAAAGCCCTGGGTGTGCGAGGACTTCGCTCACAGGTGCTCACAGGTGCGAGGGAGCCGCGGCTGCACGGGGTGGGTGCTGCCGCAAGGTAGGGCCCAGCGCGTCAGATGGGCTGTGTGCTGGGTTTTAGGCCAGTTCTGCACACACGACCCAGGCGGCAGGGGTGGGACGCATGCGAGGAGAGAACCCCATGTTGCACATCAGCCCCTGTCCCACACGCCCCTCACACCTGCACGCGTCCTGTCCTGTCACACCTGCGTCCGCACCTGCTAACCAGGTGAGGCCAGCTCAGGCGGCAGCCCCCACAGGAGGGAGCCTGGCGTCCTGCCCTGCTCGGCACCAAGGCCGTGTTCCGTAACGTCCCCTCCCTTCCCCATGACCCCCTCCCCGTGTGGGCACCCGGGACCTCCACTTGGTGGGTGGAGGGTCTTCTGCCAGGATCCCTGCTCATGGGCTGTGTCCTGTGTCCTCCTTTCGAGGACAGCAGAGCTGCTGCTCAGCTGCAAAGGCTCAGTAGCCAGGGAAGGGACTTCTGAGCTCAGCGGTGGCTGCCGGGGGGTCCCAGAGGGCAGCTGCTTTGCCTAGTGGGCCGTGGGGCCCATCGCTCAGGTGGGCGGCTCAGGGGGGACTCGGCTTCTCTGAGGGCACCCGGCCCGCAGACGCTCCTCCTCCCTCGCTACCTCGCCCGCCGCTCACAGCAGCACTCGCTGGGCTCTGCCGGACGGGCCGCTGCCCCTCGGCTCCCACTCCCGCCCCTGGGCTCCACACCGGGCCCGGACCGAGGCCAGGAGCCCTGACGTGAGGGCGCCTCCCAGGGCCACGTCCGCCTCCGCAGCCCGCGCCGCCCAGGTGGATCGGGCTGGTCTTCCTGCGTTTTTCTCTAGGATCCAACGCATTGCCTCCACGTGTGTTACAGGGTCCGTGTTGAAAGGAACTGAGGGCCCACACGAGCTGTGTTCCCTGTGTGTGGAACATGCAGAGTGCGCACAGATTTGTCTC